TGATGTGGTCATCTGGGAAACTATCCTCATCTGTAGGAAATCCACACTAACGTGTGCAAGCGTGATAGAGACTTGGGTTATCAAGGAACTCTGAAATGGTTTAGGAAATAAGCTCCTCATTATCCGAGTTTTTGATTGTTTCAAAATAAAAAATAATAATGCACAGCCTTCCGTGGAATATAAAATGTCCCACAATATGTTTTAAATGTGTTTTAATCTACTGTGTTTTCTATGCACATTTGCAGCACAGCTGTATTCCTGGCCCAAATAAATTTTTTTACTAAATTTAGTATCTGTGTTTCGCACACTTCGTAAGTGTTTTAACTTAGAATTTACAAACGTGCAAAGTAATAAAATTTTTAAGTCACAAGTAAATATAATTTAAAGTAATATGTATGTAACAAGTAGGTGATTTATTTATATACCAACCAAATTTCCATGTCATTGAAAGTAACTTCCGTAATACAATTAATGAAGCATTTTGCAGGAATTTCTAACTTATTTCTGTGTAATAGTTTGTGGCTTATTAACGATCAATGAATATTAGCTACTAAAAATGATTGTGCCATAATGAAAGCACATACAAATTGGAAACCCCAAATGCCATTCTGTTTTCAGCAAACAAATCTCAGAAGATACGATCAACAAATCAACTTCAAAATATCAAATTTAGCTAGTGTCTAATGTCAATGGTGTCTCATTTTTAAGTTTAAGATACAATTGGTATATGAATCAGAAAAGCAGCTCTCTGTCTAGAAGCAGCTTGGGCAAAAAGGTCTTTCCTTCATCCAACATGTTTTTATTTCACAATCAAAGCAGAACAATACAGAGGCATCTCCCACTGAACATAGTTAATCCATTCTTGAAGCTCAGACGCGCTGAACCACAACAAAAATAGTCTTTCACCCTGTTATTTTCGATGGGGAAATTTATCATACATTGCACGTCAACAGAAAATCCCAAACAACTTACGAAAGATAACTAAAACCCAGTAAAAATGCCTGCATGTAAGTAACAAACTCATGAAGGGATACGAAATGCTTAAAACATTTTTCCTGATCACCTAACAATTAATATGCTTGCCCCGTAGCCAACAGCATGTAGAGTTTGCATGCAACGTTACATTTGCAATGCACCCGGCAAATAGCAGACATCGACAAATGAATCTAATAGAGAAAATGCAGACGGAAGTTTGTGATGAATTAAGGACATTTCCTACCATGCTACTTACCAAGGGAGGCGGACACTTGGAGCTAACAAAACTTAAGCAGCTCCTGCTGTGGCTAAGCTTGGCTCCTGATATATTTTCAGAGAAGGTAGGTGACACTACGGGCTGGAAAAATTAAGGAGCGCTCGCTTACACTCTCAGCATTTATTTGTATAAATTTCACTATAGGGTGCTACTGAGACAGGCCATTTTTATTTTTTTTTAGTATCTATTAATTTTGAGAGAGAGAGAGAGAGAGAGAGAGAGAGCATGAGTGGGGGAGAGGCAGAGAGAGAGAGGAGAGCGAGGGAGAATCCCAGGCAGGCTCTGTACTACTTGTTAGCATACAGCCTGATGCGGGACTCAAGCTCACCAACCATGAGATCCTGACCGGCGCTGAACTCCAACACTTAACTGACTGAGCCACTCAGCCCTCCCTGGAAGGAGGCACTTTATTTCCATCTCTCAGAAAATTGTTACAACGTACTGATTTTCACAACCAAGGAGGCAGCTTTACGCGATCAAAAAATTGTCATGATAAGCAATCAACTGCCTCTTTGGAGTCAACGAATAAAAAAAATATTTTTTTTAAATATTTAAAATAACAAAGATATAAAGAGGTCTGTAGTGTTAAGGGCATGCCTATAGTTGAGGCGCATTGTGCCATGCACAACCCGAGCAGCTATACATGGCTGCCGGTAATCCGATTTGTACATCAATTCGTTTGGCAGTCCGTTAAGAGAGCCTTGCCCATAGATGCTGACAAGACAGCAGGGAAGCCTCCTTCCCTGGCTTTTTCGGGTATGCATCCATCTACCTAACTTACCTCACCAACTCGTGGCCGTCCTTACTGGAATAAGTTCATTCTCTTTTTCTCTTCCATAGGAGATGGGGAGAAGAGCTGTTTACATACGTGTATAGGTTTCCCATTGCCTCTTGCTCTGACCCCACACGATGATCTCCTCTCCACCCAGAAGTTCCCGGGGCAAATTAGAAAACTCAGACAGTTTTGGGTCGCCACGTCTCTTTGTTTTTTTTCCTCTACCTTAAGCCTTCCAGTAGGGCTCCCTAAACAGCTCTCTAAAACTAATCTTATCGCCATATGCTATGATCCTGCTTCCTCCTTCCTGTAAAGTTAGGCTTTGTTTTTGTTTTTGTTTCCCTAAAGTTTGGTTTCTCCGTATTGTTAACCCGGAAGGAGGCTGCAAACGTTTACTTTGATTTTTGGAGCACGAATGGCTAGAAGAATTTTGTGATGATACTGATTTTAAGTGAAGTGTATTTTTTCAAGTTTTGGGTTGGCGGGTCTGGGATGAGAGGTCCAATTCTAGATCTGTAGTTTCAAGACTCGGATGGATGTATCATGGGCCAGCAGAGCAGGAACTGATGGTCCCTGTCTTCTTTCAGAGCTGTGGTGTATTTCTTAAGAAACCACCTCCATTTTCCATCTCTTTAGAGATTAATCCTAGGAATTAGTGGTACAAACTGAAGTGTCCTGTGTCTTTTAAAAAATCTTTTCCAAAGTGAGTGGGAGAGATATAGTCCGATAAAGGGCAGGAAGAAAATACTAGATGGTTGATTTGTATTTCTTGTCATCCATTTAAATGTTTCCTTTTGTGGGGCGCCGGGGTGCTCAGTCAGTTGAGCGTCTGACTTCAGCTCAGGTCATGATCTCACTGCTCACGGGTTCGAGCCCCGCGTCGGGCTCTGTATAAGGAAGTTCTCAAGGGGCGCCTGGGTGGCTCAGTCAGTTGAGTGTCCGACCTCTGTTCAGGTCATGATCTCGCAGTTCGTGGGTTCGAGCCCCACGTCGGCTCTGTGCTGACAGCTTGGAGCCCGCTTCAGATTCTGTGTCTCCCTGTCTCTCTTTGCCCCTCCCCTGTTCATGCTCTGTCTCTCTCTTTCACTCTAATATAAAATAAGACATAAAAAATGTAAATGTCCACCTTTTGCATATCACTTGTAATGCACATAATTTAATATAGTACAGGCTATAATTTATAAATAAATATACTTACGTTGGTGTTATGTCCTCAAAACTTTTTTTTTATTTTATTATTGATTGATTGATTTTTTGGCAGACGAGAGGTGCACAATAATAAATGTTTGGAGATCACGGCTCCAGGAACTCAGATCTAGGTCTTTTCATTCTGTGCATCATTAGACCCCCTTGACCACATGTCTGCTCCCCGAAATACGCCCTGGGCAGCACCCAGCTCTCACCCTTCCCTCAAGCAGTCACAGCGGGCTGCGCTGGGGTTACCTTAAGGGATAAGGGCGGCCTCCTGGGTTTGCTGTCACCCCCACGCACGGTCCTTCCTACGGAACAGTTAGTGCGGCCCACGTTTGCAATCACAGGCTCTGGAACCAAAGTGGGCGGAGATCCCAGCTGGCCCCTCGGTAGCAATGTGGCTTTTGGGAGTGTTGTGTGACTTCTCACCAAGGCTTAATGCTCATCCATAATATGGAGGAGAAAATAATGTGATTCTCAGAGGGCTGTGAGACCGACCATTCCCCTCGGTGCTCAGCAGTACCAGGCACCTAGTGGGCCACTGATAAAAAAGAAAATTGATATGATAAGGGACAAAACATAAGAGACTCTTCAATATGGAGAACAAACAGAGGGTTGCTGGAGGGGTTGTGGGAGGGGGAATGGGCTACATGGGTAAGAGGCATTAAGGAATCTACTCCTAAAATCATTGTTGCCCTACATGCTACCTAACTTGGACGGAAATTAAAAAATAAATTAAATAAATAAAAAAAGAAAGTTGATATTATAGTTATTATTACTCGTACTAACAAAACTCGTAATATGAGAAGACTTTTTTTAATTTTTAATAAGAAGGCTTATTTATTAAAAAATTTGTTTCATGTTTATTTATTTTTGAGAGAGAGAGAGAGACAGAGCGCGAGTCGGGGAGGGGCAGAGAGAGAGAGGGAGACACAGAATCCGAAGCAGGCTCCAGGCTCTGAGCTGTTCAGCACGTAGCCCAGTGTGGGGCTCGAACTCACAAACCATGAGATCATGACCTGAGCTGAAGTTCAACATGCAACCAACTGAGCCTCCCAAGTGTCCCATAGTGTTTATTTATTTTTGAGAGAGAGAGAGAGAGAGAGAGAGGGAGGGGCAGAGAGGGCAGGGGGACACAGAATTTGAAGCAGGCTCCAGGCTCTGAGCTGTCAGCCCGTAGCCCAGCGCGGGGCCTGAACTCGCGAACCGTGAGATCATGACTTGAGCAGAAGTGGGATGCTTAATTGACTGAGGCACCCAGGCGCCCTGAGAAGACTTTAAAGCAAGGTCTCTTTGCCTAGATTTCCAAGATTAACCTGCTTCAGACTGAATTCTGCTCTCCTGCAAAGAATGAGTTAGCCAGAGGCCAGTGGGTTTCTTCTGGATCTTTTCTGAACTTTTTAGGGTCCTCCCCGGAGAAAAGTTCTAAGGGAAGACAAAGTGGAGAAATACTCTCACTCTCACTTCAAAGGACGTGTAGGAAGTGGTTACTTTTGCCAAAAAAAATTAGTGCCTGGGACATACAAGACACTCAATGAAGCCTTCTGTAGACCGAATGTTTGTGTCCCTCCAGAATTCATATATTGAAACCTTAATGCACAAGGTGACAGTATCGGGAGGTGGGGTCTTTGGGAGATGTTTAGGTCATGAGGTGGAGCCCTCATGCACAAGATTAGCATCTTCCTAAAAGAGACCCCGCAGAGATCCCTTGCCCCCTCCACCACGGGAGGTTACAGGGAGAAGATGGTCATCTGTGACCCTGGAGGTGGCCCTTGAATAGACATGGAGTTTGCCAGTGCCTTGAGCTTAGACTTCCGAGCCCTAGGAGCGTGAGAAATAAATGTCTGTTGTTTAAACCACCCAGTCTATGGTGCTTTTGTTACAGCAGCCCAAAGAGAAGGCTTGTCTCTTACATCTAAAAATAACACAAATACCAACAATAATAAAAAAGGCACATTGTGGCCACTGACATGTAATGAACATCATCTCTCCTCTATGGCGCCAAGAGCTCAATCAGGTTTGGACCACGAGGCAGAGTATGATTAACTACAAACACCGGCAAGATGTCTAAATGTTCAATTCCTCTTCCTGTTACTTTTCTGCTACAACAAAAGGAAAGTCCTAGGCAGGCTTCGGTTGCCACTGAGCCTAAAACAGCCAAATCCCCAATTAGAAAGCTTTGGGGTTTGTTTTAATTGTGGGTGTGTGAAGTTACCCAGAAGCTCTGTTTGATCATTCCAATGGGTGTTTTGCTACAAGGTTGCAAATACATCTTAGTCTAGCAACTAAGGTGCACAAAAATATACGTTTAGCATCTTAAAATGTGTCTAAATGTCTGTTTCAGTTCTAGTTTTGCCTATTGTTTTGGGCTCAGGGGTTTGAATGTAACCGCGGGGGGGCCCCCCCCCCAGATTCCGATGTTGAGGTCCTAACACCCAGCACTTCAGAATGTAACTGTATTCAGACCCTAGATCCTTGAAGGGGTGATTAAAGGGGCACCTGGGTGGCTCAGTGGGTTAAGCACCTGACTCTTGCACTCAGCTCAGTCTTGATCTCAGGGTTGTGAGTTCAAGCCCTGCATTAGGCTCTGCCCGGGCATAAAGCCTACAATCAATCAATCATTCAATGATTAAGGTAAAATGAGCTCATTGGGGGTAGGCTCTAATTCAACATGACTGGTGTGCTTATAAGAAGAGGACACTAGGACACAGACAATACACACTGAAGGGCAATGTGTCGTCTGACGACACAGCAGAGGAGACAGTTATCTGCAAGCCAAGGAGAGAGGCCTCGGAGAATTGAACCCTCCTGACACCTTGACCCTGGACTACCAGCCTCCAGAACTGTGAGAAAATAAAGTGTATGTTGCCCACGCCCCCCCCAGCTTTTGGCATTTTGTTATGGCAGCCCGAGCAGGGCACCTATGATTCAGAAATTTGAGGACCTCCCCCCCTCCCCCCACTATACCCTAAAGTTCTTTTTCGGCTTGAGAGGCTTGTGGGATGCTACGGGGTCCGGGAAGGAGGCTCCCGGCATTCACGCCACTAGGTCATCGAGACGCTGCACAGCTGTTCCCAGGGCTGGCTACATAATTTGCAGGCCCAGCACAAAATGAAGATATACGGCCTTTTGTTCAAAAGCACAGATGAAGAGTTGTTAAAGATACTAAAATAGAAAGCCCATTTCCTCCAAGGTCTGTCTTTCCACGTGCCATGGCCGGTGTTTTCGCTTCGCATTTAACGTCATTCCAAGTAAATAAACATTTACAAACCTAATTAGGAGCATGAATTTTACCACCCATCTTTGTACGGTGCAATGTCAGTTTTAAATAATCCGCACGTGGACGCGGCAGCTGGTCCGGGCACATGCACCCTGTTCTCACCAGGACGGTGGAAATCCTGCGCTCGGCCAGCTCAGCTGTCTTTACTCCACCTGGTGAGACAGGCCGTGTTCCACCAACCCTCCCGCCCTCAGCTTACTGATGGGTAAGGAACCCGAAAGGACGGGGGGCAGGGGGCCGCCCTTTCTTTCCCTTCGCTTCTAAGTCACCGCTTGCAGCCTAAGCGCTTGCTAACACAGGGAGGTAACGTGAGTGAGAAAGGGTATGACCCGGTTCTGGGTTGTTCACCAGAGGCCATTGCCTTCTGTCTGTGCTCAGAGCAAGCTCTGCTTCGTAGGGAAAGGGTGCTCCTGTTGACTCAGTCATCGATGTAACGCTTAGCTTCTCTTGCTGAACCCCAGGCACTGGGTGTCACTGTCCAGCGGCACTCGCCAGGCGGGAGACCAGTATTTGAACATGAGGAGGCAAGGGACGGTGGACACGCATACCGGGCGGTCTCCTCGGCTCATGTGTGTGCTCCGCTGTCCCATCCCCCCCACTCCCAAAACACAAGTTCAAAAATAAAACTGAAGAATTACCAGTGACAGCAGAGCATTATACTGGCCATGGCATCCTTCCGGGGGCGGGGCCTTCCGGGGGCGGGGCCTTCCGGGGGCGGG